TCTTGGCTTTTCCACTTACTTACTGAATCATCTTAGACAAATAAAGCAACTTCTCTGTTACTTTCTCAGCTTCTCACCCCTCTTCTGGGACTAACAATAGTACCTACTTCACAGGGTTGATGTGAGGATGAAATTGAACGTGTGAAGTGGTTAGTGTTGGCACATTGCACTCATTAAAAGGTAGCTGCTGTTATCACCATGTTGCCACCCTACCAGCATCACTGATGGCAGTGGTCCAGGAATTGTAAGTGTAGATTTTGTTGCAGGGGAAGGGCTGAGGCTGAAGCTACAGATGCGGGAGCTGTCTGCCCCACAGGGAGGAGAAGGTATGCCACCAGAAGGGCAGGGCAGACCCTGGGAGCCAGCCTGGGGAGTGAGGTGGGGGAGGCAGAGCCGAGAAGGAGACGAGGTTAATTCAGCTTAGGAAGAGGTCGTGCTGCAGAGTCCCACGTGAATATTTCAAGTAGGGGGTGATGGTCAGCAGCTACTAACACTGCAGGAAGATGGAGCAGGCCAGGAGGCGTCTCTTAGACAAGGTGTCAGGAGGCCAGCTCCTCACCTGCTCATTTGACACCACAGCAGAGCAACTTGAGTGTTTACATTATTCCTTAAAGTCCAAGTCCCAAAATAGAATCTTTTCCAGGCTTTCCAGAATCCCTGACCACTTTTCTTCAGTTTAATAACGTCAAACCACCACACAAAGTGAAAGGCCCATCAGCAGTCCTGCTGCTTGTTTTCTGCCCCGACAAAGGCCATCCCCCTGCTCCAGCTGCAAGGGACACTTCCGGGAGAAGTGTCCTGGGCGGAGGAGGCCAATCTCACCCTCCCTGTGGGCCCGCAGTCATGGACGATCACTCCGTACATTCTCTAAAGAGTGGCCAGATATTCTGAGAAGTCTTCTCCCTTAGGAATTGGATACGGTGTGCTAATAACTGATACCATGTTTGAATTTGGCTGTATTACTCCTGCAGTACCTCGGCTCACCTCTTGCGTGTCAGGCACTCCGCTGGGCACAGGGGTGTGTATATCCCCTTTCTTTCAGGAAGATGTGCTCGACACCAGTCTTTCCTCATATACCCACATCCACTCACCAGGAAATCCTGTTGGCTCTGCATTCAGAGTATTTGAATCTGACCCTATCATGTTATTTCCACTGTTAGCCACCTTCATCCTGGCCACTGTCTGGCCTGGATTACTGCAGTAACCTCCAAACAGATCTCCCTCCTCGTCCTTGCCCTCCTGTACTCCACTTTCTTCACAGAAGCCAGAGCGATCTTTTTAAAACACATGGCAGGGTTAAGAGTGTTGAGATAGTAGGAGCTGCTAAGAGAGTGAAGAGATGGCAGTTTCAGCTACTGTAGCCAACTCTTGACACAGACCTTTGAAGCTGGTAAGGAAGGAAGCCAGGCCACTATCTGGGGCAGGAGCTCTCCAGGCAGAGGGAACAGCAAGTGCAAAGGCCCTGCTGGGGTTGGCAAGAGCCTGGAGAAACAGAAAGGAGGCTGGTGCTGAGGGAAGGGAGTGAGCCCAGGGCAAGAGTGGTAGGAGCTGAAGTCAGAGAGGGGAGCAGGGGCAGCTTGGACATCAGGGCTCGTGGGGAATATACCTGGGCCCTGTCCAACCGGGGCTTGGGAGTCATTCACTCATTTCATTTAACAAACATTACTCACGTGCCTGTGAGGTGTCTGGCACTATGCTAGGTGCTGAGGACACAGTGATAAGCAAAATGGACGTAATCACTGCCTTCTTCATGGATTGTACAGTCTGGTGGGAAAGATAGACATTAATCAGATACTCACACAGGTTAGCATATAATTAACAACTTTCACAACTATAGGGCCCTTAAAGAGGAATAACCAGGGGTGCTGACCTAGTCTAGGGGCTTCAGGGAACATTTTCCCATGGACGTAACAACTGGTGTGAGATGAGATCAATGAGGAGGAGCTGAGCAGGTGAAGAAGGGGCTACTCTTGAATGAAAGGATGCCAGGAACAAGGGCCCTGAGGTGGGAAGGAATGGGACAGAGGCCAGCGGGGCTGCCATGTGGGTGACAGGAGAGGGTACAAGGGGACGCTGGAGAGGAAGGCATGGCTAGGGCAGGGACCTTGGGGCTCTGGTGAGGCATTGGTTTTTATCCTAAGAGTTAACATGAAAGCAGTGAGGAGTTGTAATCAGAAGGTGAAAGAGACCAGAACTGCATATGTTTTAGAACAATCTCTCTCACGAGGTGGAAGATGGGGTGGAGGTGGGAAGGCAAACAGGCAGGGTATCTTCAGAAGCTGGTGGAGTGGCCCAGGTGAGCAGTGATGACAGCTTGACATAGGGAGAAAAGAGGTTTTCTCTGAGGCTGAGGGGTAATTTGGAGATATAATCCACAGTGCCTACTAATGGGAAGGAGGCTATTTCAGTCTCAAAACTAGGCACACTGAAAGAGAAGCAACCAGACCCAAGCCTCATGATGTGATGTGGTGGACAGGGCAGTACAGGGCCACCTACAAAGCTGTCTTACCTAGAAAACTGTAACTGAATTTAATCAAGTCTTTAGACATAACTGCCAGGTTATTAAGGAAGCATGCTGGATAGATGAACAGGTTAAATGACACTATGAGGAAGAAATCAACCAAATCAGAATGCGAGACATTCAGGAACAAATAACATGATGGTGCCAGTAAACTAATGGCATGAAATAGAATGATAAAAAGACTTAAGAAATAGAACAAGGCATAATTACACCTTTTATGCAATGTGCAATGTGCATATATTTGTTTGGATCTTGACTCAAGCAAACAAAGAGATGTCTTTAAGAAAATGAGAAATTTGAGTACAGTCTGGGTTTTAGATAATAGGGGCTTACTGTTCATTCTGTTAGGTATACTAATGGCATGATGGTTTTAAATGTGTGTGTGTGTGTGTGTGTATTTAAGTGCATGTTAGAAATGCATACCAAGTTTTTGAAATGATTGACATCTTGAATTGCTTAAAATACTTCCAAAAAGAAAGAGTGGCATGTGATAAATTAAATTGGCAACATGTTGCTAATTACTGATTCTGGGCCATGAATATATGGAGGTTTATTATACTATTCTATGTTGGGGTATTTGAAATTTCTCATAATAGAAAAGTTAAAGACAAACTTTCATGGAAAATAGAGCTCACACTGAAATAAGGAACACACGAACCATGTCTGACAGGGAGATGATGGGTTCAGTTTGGACAGGCTGAGTCTGACATGCATTTGGGACATCTAAATGGAGGTGTCCTATCTACACAGTTGGTCTCGAGCCCTGAATACCTCTGCTCCAGAGATAGAAAAGTGAGTGTAGATGGTGACTGAAGCTGTGGGCACGGAGCACCTAGCCAGGGGAGGAATAAAGCGTGATAATAGAGGGCCGAGGACTAGGAAGAATTGGAAGATGTAATGACCAGGCAAGGAGGCTGAGCTTTGTGACTGAGGGGCAGCCAGAAGATGGAGGGGGCACAAATGCCAAGGGAAGTGGATGTTTACCAAAGGGGAAGGGCTCACAGGGCCATGTGCTGCCAAGATGTCCAATAGGATGAGAACCAAAGTGAGCCTGTTGGGCTTGCCTCACGGGTGGAGGTTGCTGCTTGGGTGAGAGCCCTTTAGGCTGAGGCACGGGACTGAGGTGAGCTGTAGGTGAGACCAGATGACAAGGAGACACAGAGTCTAGGTAACTCTTTGTAGAAGTTCGTCTGTGAAGAAGGAGGGTGGCAGCTTGAGAAGACAGGAAATTAGAGCATTTTTAATTTTTAAGTTGAGACATTTTGAGCACATTAAGATGACAAGAGTAATGATCCAGGAGAGAGGAAGAGGTGGGTTACCCAGGAGAAGGGACAGTCAGTAATGTCAGTTTCTTAGAGGACAAGAGGGGATGAAATGGGGGGTAGGCTCCTTGTTTCTCTCAGGAAGGAAGGGAGATGAGCAGAATGCAGACAAGTTCTTCCTTTGCATTTATTTTCCCGGAGAAGTAGGAGGTGATGCCGCCTGCTGGCAGGGTGGGGGCAGTGGAGAGCGTCTGGTGATTAGAGGTGTGAGGGTCCTGAAGGTTGGAATTAGTCATGGAACAGCAACAAGTGAGCAGAGAAATAAGGTAGGATTGCCCAGCAGGGGGAGGGAGGTGGTCATGGTCTGACATGAGAGTCAGTGGGAGACTGAAGGCGGGCAGGGTGGGTGGTGTTGGGGGAAGGCAAGGATGGTGAGGATGGCCCACATGGGGAGGTCCCTGTGGCCAGTGGATTGAGGAGGACTTCCCGGAGGACACTGGGCCCAGGGCTCTGAGCAGGTGATTATGATGGTGAGAGCCTGTCATTGGTGTTCAATGTCTTCTCAACTCCTATTCCCATCTCAGATTGCAACCTACTGCCGCCCGCCAACCTTCAGCCCTCTAGCCCCTCCCACTCCCTGCGCCAAAACAGTCCTCCACTCTCCAAGTCTGTTACAGCCTCAAAGTCCATGTCAGGGTTGTTTGTCATTTTAAAAATATGCTGTTGCTTCCCAGTTCCTGCCCAGCTACAAGCAGTTTGGGAAGCGTGAGCCCAGGTTGGGTGGGCAGGCATGGTGGTATGCTCCCTGGCAAGAGGGCTCAGACAAGACTGGACAGCATGAGACAGCGAGGCTAACTGTAAAATGGCACCCTTAGGCCCACCACCCTCTGCCTTCACGCCTCACACAGGCTCTTCAAAGGATGGCATTTTGCTTGCAGGAAGGAGTTCTGGATGCCGCCAAGCCTCACTGTAGGCTTTCCCCACACTGTGCATGCTGCATCTCCCCTGACCAGTGCTGGCACCAGACCACATTATATGGGTGCCTTCTCAGTCGCCCCAGGTCTCTGCTGGGCTTGGGCTGCAACCCTGTCTCTGAGGTTCCTGCTATGAGTGACACCTCTAGGTTGCAGCCAAATCATCATTAGGGGCAGTAAAACCCTCTAGGGACCTACTGAGCAACGCAGGAGGCATAAAAAATGTATCATTTCTCTTTCTAGCTTAACTCAGGTGATCCGAAAGTTTGCCAAGCAGCTGGATGAATGGCTAAAAGTGGCTCTCCATGACCTTCCAGAAAATTTGCGAAACATCAAGTTTGAGTGTAAGTCCTGAGTTTGGGAGCGAGAAGAAGGGAGAAAAGCATTTTAGTGCCAAACATTTTACATAGATTGTGAATAAAATAACAACAACAATAATAATAATGATAATAGCTGCCGTTTACTCTTTGCCTATAAAGCACCAAGTATTATGCTTAGCACTTTCCATGCATGAACTTACTTAATCCTCACAAAATATTTATTGCGAGTGGCACACGTCTCCTTTTATAGAAAAGGAAACAGGCTTAGAGAGGCAGTAAGTACCGCTCAGGCGGGATCTGCTCCCTGGTCTGTTGATCCGTCTCTGGTCGTCACCACTTCACTCCTGGTCTCGTTGAATCCTCATGCCACTTTTGCGATGTGGAAAGCAATATCCCTATTCTACAGATGAGGCTCTGAGAGGCAGAGAAACTTCCCTAAAGCTGCACAGCCACACAGCTGGTAACTGTGGGCCAGAAGTCAAACCCAAATCCATCTGACCCCAAAACTCTAAGACTTCCCCAAAGCTCCTGCCCACAAAATGTTAGTAACAGGACCCAGAAAATGGCTTCAGGGCTTCACATATTTAACTCTCTGCCTAATGAGAAAACCAAATTAATGTTTCTCATAAGGGAATTGGGGTTGTGAATCTTTTCTCTGCTGAGCATCCCTAGACCCCAGCGTTAGTTTTGCCTAAGAAAACGCCCTATTTCTCTGTCTCCCTGGGTCTATATTTGCGGGAAGACTCACATGCTATTGCGCAAAGATGAAAAGTTTTCAAGCAAAACAAAGTTTTTAGATATATCTTTCTTAAAGTCCCATTTAAATACAGCTTGCCATTCTTACCCGAAATAAGTGCCAGCGGGGAAAATGAAGGAGATCAAATTACCCTCTCTCCGCAGGCAAAGGGGGCCCTTTCAGGCGCGCTTTGAGGCCGCCTGCAGTGCCATCACCTATTGATAAAGCCTGCTTTATTTCACGGCCCTCAGTTCTTTTCTTTTCTCGAGCACTAAATTCCACATCACAAAGTTAAAGAAAAAGTAATTAAGGAGAAGGATTAACGATTGATCAGTCTGGAAAACTAGAAGTTCATCTGCCCCCCCACCCTCTATTCCTCCACCCCGTGCCCTATTTTTCAAACCAAGCTGGCTCTGAGTACAAATTAGAATAAACCCAGGGAAATTTCTGTTTCTCGACCAGTTCAGAAATTAATGAGAAGAATGCCCCGCACACCCGTTTTAATTATGCTGACAAAACAAACTTGTGGAAAGTTGGCTGTGGGGAGGTCTGCTGGACCTTTCACCTGTGGGTGCCTGGAGGCACCTGTGCTTCCCAGGGAGCCCTGGAGTGCACCTTGAGGACGTGCAAGGCATGGAAACACACACCAGTCCAAACGACTCTGTAAGAGCAAAGACCATGGGCTGCACGTGGCTTGTCTGCTTCAAAATCTAAAGATATAAGATCATCCCACTTCAGATCAGCTTATTATATCAGCACAGGAAACAGGATCATCAAGACACAACTATAGGTCATGGAGATCATGTGATAAAGATGACAGATAATGCAAAGCCATGTTCATGGTGCCACCCCGGTCCCATCACAGAAGCAGCCCCTAGCATCACACACACACACTCGCTGAGGCTCAGTCAGGGTTTCCTATTAGATACACTACTTCTTAAAAGGCCTTCTTCAAAGCTTCCACTTGATTCTTGCAATTATTTATGGGGAGAAGTGAATGAGTTTGTAATTAACGAAATGAAAGACAAGTAAATAATTGCTTTTACTCACGGTTGATTGATGCCACTATTTCTCACACCTGCCAGTGCGGCATGTGGATGACTTTGAAATATGTACCCCAAATATCACCATTTTAGGAAATAGTTATCCAAATGGGAGAACAAAGAATCAAATGCAGGGTTTTGCCAAGTGGGCACATAAAATGGGTCTGGGCTGTGAGACAAATTTAGTTAAATATGGAAGCCACTTTTTGAAATCTGCCCTTGGAAAATACAAGGTAGGACCATAATGTGCAAATATTTCACGCTAACTCTTTTCATCCGTCAGTGTCAAGAAGGTTTTCTCAAATTCTGAGACGGCAAACATCACTCAATCATCTTTGCCAGGTATGTGTCCTGTGTTACATGTTCTAACTACTGCCAGGTCATTGCAGATGAGGGACAAAGCCACAGAAACAACTCCCTAGAAGAGTTGTGGGGGAGGCCAGGCTATTTAATAGTACACTCTCACTGTTATCTTTAATTTCTACAGTTAAGGAATAAAAATGTTAGCCAATCACTAGTTTCAACTAACATATAAAATAATTGCTAACATATAAAATAATAAAGGCCCCTTAGCCTTTCATGCATGTTCTCGGTCCATAAGTCTGTGTTTGCCAGAAGTAAGTCAGTGTTTCTCAACCACTATTGACACTCTTGCTGGATACCTCTTCGTAGTGGGGAGTTGGTTTGTGCATGGCAGGTGTTTAGTAGCATCCCTGGCCTCTACCTAGTAGATGCTAGTAGCACGACCCACCCCCAAGTACCACCCAGGCTGTGACAACCAAGAATGAATGTCTCCAGACACTGCCCAGTGTGGCCGGGGGCACAATATCACAGCAGTTGTGAACCACTGAGATAAATCATTCAAACAGATACAAAGAGGTTGATTGGTTTGTTGTGTTTGTATCATCCAGAAAAGTTCAGAGCCACATAGTATATTAAATATTTACCCAATTTTGTTTATTTTTCCAGATTTCTGTTCTTTGTAGCAAGAAAGTGACATATGCTTACTATAGAAAGAAATGCAAAAAATATCAAAAAGTATATACAATAAAAAGTGGAAGATCCTACTATAACTCTGTAGTTATGACCGGATGGCATAAAACTTTGCATTTCTGTTAATTTTGTACCTTCAGGAAAAGAATCTAAATCAGTTAAGGCCGCCCCTTAGCATTCATTAAAATATTAATGCTCATAAAGCAAAGGGGGCAAAACTGGTGGCTATAGGTCAAGTCTGGTCCTCAGATATTATTTTTGTTTGATTTGCATATGTTCAAGTAATATTTTTGCTTAGTTGATAATAATTGAAACTGGAAGATGACAGCCAACTACCCAAATTTTCTATAGAAAAATGTTAAGAGCTGGCAACCCCAGAGCTAGTTTTCCCAGGGCAGTAATCAGCTGGGTGGGCTGAGCTTCCCTCCAGCAGGCAGCCTGCAACGTATTACCCCCGCTTTCTCTAACACTCGGAGCTCCTCATTCCCCTGTGTCACCCGGCTGCTGTCTGTGTGTGTCTGGGTTTGCAACCTCTCCTTCATACTGTTGGTTCAAGGTCAAGGTAGGAGGAAGGGGTCTCTAGTTTCAACAGCCTGATGTTAGGGTCCAGATCAGGAACTAGAAAGTATAAAAACTGCACTGCACACACCTCACTGCTCCTGCCCTGTCCCTGCGTGAATGGCATGGGGGGTGATTTGGCCACCAGAGGAAAGCCCTTCCACATCTGTCCTCTGTATACAGAGGCCACACCTGGGCCTTGTTCTGAGGAGGGCAAAGCCTGACAGATAAATGAGATTCAGGAAGAAACCGAATGTTGGCAAAAAAAACAACAATACAGCCATGTTTCCAAGGCGCATGCCTTCTTTCTTTTCTTTTCCCCAGCTTAGAAGAGTCAATCTTGGGTCCTCTCAGGAAACTGAACATGGTTTTGGTACCTCCCTCTGAGGTTCAGACAGTTTAAGAAAGCCTTTAACGTTTAAATGCACATGTAGGTAGAAGTGTGCACACCCATGTCTGCCACTACCTGCACACATACCTGGACACAAACTCTCTCCAATTCCCACAAATAGTGTGGAATTTAATCAGCAAATGCTACCTTTCCTTCTTCACTGGGCAACTATCAGGCACATTCCTGGATCAGCCAAAAGACTGGGATTAGTGCTGGGAATGAAACACCATGGAACATTTTAGCTAGTATCCCAGCAAGCTTTCCTAAACACATACAAGGTGAGTCATACTTAAACCCAAGATCTAAATGCCCAGGCCTTTTCTGATACACTAAGCAAACAGCTTGGCATTCATATCTCAGTCATTCATTCTACAAAATCTTTTGAGTGCCTTCTGAGTACCAGATACTGTGTTTTGTGGTACTTGCCCTCAGCAGAATAAAAAGTACACTAAAGAATAATTAAAAGGTTAGGAAGGAAACAGAATGGAAATAGGGAATCAGGGAACATTTAGGTCCTGCTTAGATGACATGGTTAGGGACAGTCTCTCCATGGGTGTGACATTTAAGTCAGAGCACACATGAAGGCAGGGCTGCTGAGGCAGGGGAGAGAAGAATGTTCAGCTGGCAGGAACACCATGTGCAAAGGCCCGGGGGGTCAACACAATCACCACAAAGAGAACTGACATGAATAACAGGAGCCTCCTTTATTGAGCTTACTCCTTGGACTATGCACTTCTCAAACATTATCTCAAGGACTCATCAACAGCAGCCATCCTTAAGAGGCAGGTACTATTACATTTCCATCTAATAGATCAGGAAAATGAGGTTGATCTACTTGAGTCCCCCAAGTGGATCAGCTGGTCAGCAGCAAGGCCAGAATTTGAACTAAGTGTATTTGAATCCAGAATCCCAGATCTTCACACATGGTTGTTTTCATTAGCATTAAAGACTGACCCAACCCATATGATCATATATCCCAAGCCTCTGTGACCTTCAAAGAGCTCTACAATGTGATTTAAGTAAGATTTTACTTGCGCTCAAACAATCTGTGTATTAAAGGGGTTGTCACTATTTACCTTTGCCTGGAAATTCATAAGCATTGGGAGACTTATAAAGCCCATTTGTGGTTGAATTTTTTTTCATTTTATTAAAGACATTTTCGAAAACATGCAGGTAAAGGAAAGGATTTTGGAATTATTATTTTTTTTTTTTGCTTTTATCAGTATTGTTCCAACTTGCAAATGTTAAGTGCTACTAATTACTGTTTACTGAACAAGCCACAGGTTAAACACATACACACACCTTAGTGAACAACTGAGTCTTAGATGTAGTTCCCTTGTCTTCCATCTCAGTTACTCATATTTGTTTTAATCATCATAGTTATATAAAAAACAAAAAGCAAAAATAGAAAGCTAGACCACAAATTGTTTCAGAATGCATTTATATGAAAAATACACATTGTAAAATTTCTAGGGTTAAAGCTATCACATGCCCAGGGATAGCAGGGCCATTCCTAGATCTGGGCCTGTCACTTCTCAGACACTGAGACAACTGGTTACTTGGTACAGAGCTCCCAGCCCACAAGCTTACATCAGAAGGCTGACACATCTCTGGGCTTTACCCCATTGTTCCATGGGGTCAGGACCAAAGCAGCTGGGAACGGCAGGGTTTGGTCTAGCCTAGGCCACCTTGGAGTAGATTCTTACAAAGGGATATGAGAGAGGGAAGCCACAAGAGAGCACAGTGTTCACATCTTCTGAGTTATGGTCATTTGCTGAAATGGAATTTCCCTGAATTTCAAAGTCGTTTGCCAAAGACCATACACAGATGGGCGAAAAAGGCCGAAAAAGAAATAAAAGTACAGGGGTGTTAACCTAACAACCCATGAGCTAATGCGTTCACTGGGCTGGCTTACAGGCATCTCGGACAGTGATCCACAGTGCAGACATCACATTCCAAATGCTGGAAGACTGGAGGAACGTGGACCTCAACAGCATCACCAAGCAGACCCTCTACACCATGGAAGACTCTCATGATGAGCACCGGAAACTCATCATCCAGTGTAAGATGGTGCACCAGGGATGGTGTCTTTCTGATTTTTGTTTTAAAAAGAAAGAAAAAGTATCTTAGTAAATAAAGTAGCATTCTCACCCTGTCCTTCCCTGCACTGACCCCTCCCCCACATCCCTCCCCCAGACGGGAGGGCTGATCGGTGTCGGAGGACATGGGTCAGCCTTGGTGGGAAAAGGGGCCTGGTGCAACTGGGCCGCACACAGTGTTACACAGAAAACCCCACAGGTGACCCTCAGGGACAGGTGTAGGTCCATAGGTGGCATAAGAAATGCAAATGCAAGCATGTTGCCTCTCAGTGTATGTCTGCCTGGAGTCAGCTGGATATGCTGCCTGTTTTTCAGAAGAGGGTCACGTGAGTCTGTCCACATATTTGCAGGTGAACATTTCAATCACATTGAATGTCTGAGAATGGGATGGATGGTGATTTACTTCTGTGAATATATATATGTTCATGTCCCTGTGGCCAAAGAATGTAGGAATGCTGCTCCAAATATCATCCTCATGTGGGCCTGTTGGTTGGTCTTGGTAGTAGAGGACATGAGAGGTCCAGAGGCACCACCACTGTTAGTTCAGCTCTGCTGTCCCTCAAACGCCCATGGCCGCCTGCTGCTGGCACCCCACAGCCGGGGACCTGGGGTCTGGGTCTGGTGGCAACTCTCTCACTTAGCTGGGCTTTTCTTCCTCATGCCTCTGGGAGAGAGGGGGCACAAGGGCAGGAGGGCTGACCCTACACACCCCCTATCAGCTCTCAGAAAGGCTGGCTGCTAAAAGGATCTGGTGACGGGGTGATGTGACAGTGGCTGCACCCTCATCTTCTGAATGGGGTGAGACCCAAGATCCTAATAGTGACATCATTCAGGAAGACGCAGGGCGGCTGTCCACCCCACCCCCTCGAGAAGAGGAACCTGCTCTTCTAAGAGCCCCAGACCCCTCAGATTTCCAGTAAATGCCTCTGTGCTGTTGCCTTGAGAGGAAACTTGCCAGCCAGTCTAAGCATATGGTGTTTATAACCAAATAGTTCCCTAAGACATTCCTGTTGGAGACCTCTGTCCCCTGAGCCCTTTTCAAAAGCTCCTCTCAGGCTCCTGCTTCTTCCCCTGCAGCAGCCCCCGCCTGCTCTTTCCTGTTAAGAATGTTAGAGACCGTTGCTAAAATAACCATTCAGCTTATAGACTGCCTAGTCTGTGCCGGGTCTTGTGTCAAGTCCACCACCTGCACAGTCTCATGTAATCTGCACATCGACCCTATGAGAGAGATACTCGGCACCCTTCTTTACAGGTGAGAACCCTCAGCCTCAAGGGAGCTGGTGAACCTTTCCTAGACCTTGAACCCACGTCTAGCCTCAGCCTCTCACTTTGCAGAGGAGCAGAGGAGGCCTCACTGGGGCCAGGCATGGGGGAGTGCCAGTCATGTCTGTGCAGGAAGAGCAAGTGAGTGGAAATGTGGAACTGCCAGCTTCTGGTTCTGCTAACCACTCCTGGCAGCATCCGACCCAGCTCTTTTCCCCAGCTAGCACCCTTCATGGGGAGGAAAGTGGGACCCAGACCCACAGGGAGAAATACAATCACCATCACTTGCTTTAGGGACTGGACGCTGGACTTGGCTGGAGCACCACGGAAGTTGCTGCTGCCTCCCCGAGAGAGAACCTTTCAGGGCTTTCTCTTCAAGGTCTCTTAGGCCTGGGGCCAAATGGTACCTTTTGAAGCCTCTAGAGAAAGGGAATGTTGCAGTTGAGTTCATTATAGCTGTTACTTAACTGAATACCTGTTCAGCATGAGATACTGTATTAGCAGCAGTAACTAAGGAGGACACTGTACATCCCACGTGGAGCTTACAGCTAATGGCAAATCAGAAATAGAATAAGTAATTTACAAATGGTTGCATCTCACCAAAAAGGACATACTATATGATCCTGTGCCTAGAAGAGGGGGATTGAGGAAACGCTCCAAGCCTCAAGGCAGATGGCCTGGCACATGGGTGTCATCCCTCCACCTCCCAACCAGACAGCTGGGATGTAAGTCCCTCAACACAGTGAGCTGGGCCAAAGGCCAGTCTGAGCAAGGTTAGTGGCAACTGTGCTCTACCCTCTTCTTTCCTCAAATTTAAAAGTGTACTTTGGACTTTGAGCATGCCAGTTAGAATGGCTGTTAGGTGGTGCTGTGGTAAGAGAATGGGGTTGGGATGGATCAAGGGCCCTTGATCCATGTGACCTTGGCTTCCAAATCTGTAAAATGGGGTTAATACAAGAGGATTAAATGGGATAGTAAGAGCCACATGCCTGGTACACAGGGTCATGCTGGGTCGTGCTAACCTAGTGCAGTGGTCAGGAGGCAAGCACCCAAGTCAGGCTGTGTTTGAAACTTGCCTGTGCTATTCAGTAGCTGTGAAACCCTTGGAAAGCCACTCATCTCAGTGACTCAGTTTCCTCATCTGTAAAATGAGGGGTAATCATAGTACCTACCTCCTCGTATTTTTCACCCATTCTCTCAACGAACACTTGAGTGACCATGTACTAGGCACTGTTTCAGGTGCTGGCTTCTCTACATAACTCAGTCCTGGCTCATGACATGCAGATTCTAGGGGTTCCCAAAGGTTAGATGAGTGTCCATGTAAAGCATTTCAAATAGTTCCTGGCACATGGCAAGCACTCGGTAAATGTTAGCAGTTAGCACTTGCACTGCTGCGCCACCATCATCACTGACTGAAGGACCGTAGTGCTGACCTGTTAGGAAGAGTGCCAGACACCAAGGAGGGGCTTGGAGATCTGGGTTCTGGCCCTGCTTGGTCACACAGACACCCTCTGACCTGGAGGGTCATTTAATCTCATGAAGGCATAGGTTCCTCCTGTGTAAAATGAGACAGATCAACTAAAGGGACTTCTAAAGCCCTTTTTCATTCTAAAGTGCTCCTGGTCCCAGAAGCTGAGCCCTTGTAGCAGTCATCCAGGAAGTAAAACAGAACACATTGGCCAGTCCTGTGAAATGGGGAAACAAACACTGCTCAGGCAACTGAAGACGAGAGCAATGTGTGGGTCTTGAGTGGTGGTTTGATTTACGGAGCTCCACATACACAAATGCAAAAAATGTAATGAAAAGAGACATTTCGAATTGGAGGTCACCACAGCGATGTTTCTGTTTTCTGTAGTGCTTCCTGATTACAAAGTACTTCCAGATTCATTATTTAGCTTGCAATTGAAGCCAGATTGTAAAGAGGTATGATCATCCTCCTTTACTAAGGCAGAAACTGAGGGCAGAGCCTATTTCCATTATTCCACAGATATTTATTAAGTGTCTACTGCATGCTGAACACTGAGAGGCCAGTCAGGCTACTTGCCCAGTACAGTTGTGGTTTAGAAACATTTGAATTCTCATTCCCATGCCCAATCGCAGGGCAGAGAGCAAGAGTGTAGCCATGTCTCTGGGCACTTAGTGCAAGGAAGCACATACTGGATAGCAGCTCTATCCCGGGGAATGTCCCAGCTGATCGAGATACCAGACAAGGAAGTAGCAGGGAGACATGCACATGCCTAACTGTGACACAGTGCCATTCGTGATGTTATGAAGGTCGACTACAGACAATCAAGTGCTATCAAAGTCTGGAGGAGGGGTGATCAGTTGTGCTGGCAAAGGGCATGGGGAAGGTACAAGGAATTTTCCAGAAGGGCCATTTCGGCTGGGCCATGAAGAACCAGTCTAGGCAGAGGGAACTGCCTGAGAAAAGCAGGGCTTGCTGGGGGGATGGCAAGCAACCTGGGCTGGCCAGGGCTTAAAGTGTTCACAGGCTTGGAAGACGAGTCTGGAACGGCCAGTTGGGGCATACCTTCTAAAGCCTGCAATGCCCTGCCGAGACCAGAGTGTCATTTCATGCCTCTGTGCTTTTAAGATGTGTCTCTGTGCACACACAATGGCAGTGATGTGTAGGGGTTCTCCTTTGTCTGACAGTGTATCAGGAGTTTGACCACCTCCTGGAGGAGCAGTCTCCCATCGAGTCCTACATCGAGTGGCTGGACACCATGGTGGACCGATGTGTTGTGAAGGTTGGTGAGCTGGACAGGAAGGTACAGTCTTGGGGGCTGCAGCCCTTGCCTCATCCTTGTGACACTGAGTGATACAGAGGCCCACAAAAGGCTGTCCGAATGTCCCTCAGCAGCCACGGAGCCCTTGGGTTCTAAGGAGAGGCCTGGGTCCCCCTCAGCGGTCGGGGGTTGTAGAGGCAGGTCTGTGAGTCTCCCTCCTCCAATTCAACCAGGTCAGTGTCTTTTTTATCTGCTGTGTACATTAGGCCCTGACATAAGATTTCATTTTTTAAAGTGTATTTTTGCTGGCTAAAAACAAAAAGTTGAAAACCATTGCTCCATAGCATTGAACTTGGAGAGCCATAATCTTCCTGTCATTTTTCAAAGAGACAGTAATAAATGAAAGCTTAAGTTGACCACTCTTTAAGACATTCACTTTCTTGTAGGTGGCTACCAAGAGACAAGGGTCCCTGAAGAAAGTGGCCCAGCAGTTCCTTCTGATGTGGTCCTGCTTTGGCACAAGGGTGATCCGGGACATGACGCTGCATAGTGCCCCCAGCTTTGGTAAGGCCACCCCAGCCCTCCCCGTATCCAGACACTTTTTCTCTGGGCTTCATGCATGGAGTCTACTCTCCAGAGTCAGCTATGACCTCACATGCTGTCTCTGAGGCCACAGGGACATCACCGGGAAACATATCTATCCCAGAAGGACACAACATTGCTTCAGGGAGAAAGCTGGCATTATTTGGTATTGTATACAATCCTGAAAATGAGAGACACACACACTGGTAGTATCATTCAAATTGAAAAAGGGGTAAGTAGCAGTGGTGGTGGTACCCTGTGAATGCTGCTTCCATGGGACTGTTTTGCAGAAACTCATACTGTGGACTTCCCCAAGCCTGGGCACATGAAGGAAGCCTCTGAGTTGGAACACTTGCAAATGGCTTCATTGGCATTGCAGCAATGGGTAGACTGAAGTCTCCTTTAACAGCGTGCCCCCATCCTATCTCTAGAAGAGGACTTACATTTATTCTCCCTTGTTTCACTCTCCCCTTGGATTTGCATCACCTTCCTGCCCTAAGGGCTCATCTACTGTCTTCCAGGGTAATGGGACTGGAAATCTCTGCCCAGAGGTGTTTATAACTGTCTCTGTGGACAAGAATCTAGTCACTGATTTGGGAAGAATGCTGTACTGCATTGTGCAACAAGTTTCCTATTTTTCACGGGCAAGAATGGAAAGTATGCATTGAGTCCAGGCCATTGTTAGCAAAGTGAGGTGGGACTTGAAGGCATTGATCCAGACATTTGAAATCTCAAAACACACTGGCCTCAATTTTTTAGGCATTTCGGCAAAGGGCTGTTGGTAGATTTTCTGGGTAATTACTTCAGTTCTCTATTTTACTTAGCAAGTAGAGATGTGGTTTCCTCTCTCATTATCTCCAATTAAACCAATCAGCTCTGGATTTTGCTCTGGGTTTAATTTGACACTTTTCCGTCTAGCTTTTTATGGCCTGTCGCCACCATTTTTGAGTTGTGCTATACAACAAAGTGAATATGTGATGAAACAAAGAAGGTGCTATTTTTTCTAAACAGCTCTGTCCATGAAAGACTGTATTTACCCTTTTGGAGAAGCATTTTGTGGTGGATTTCTTTAATCTCAGTCCTGGAAGTTCTCTGAACCTGCCTGCACCACGGTTACAGATGGAAACTCTCTCTGAGCTGTATATGGAGATGTTCTAGAGACAGCTACCTGAGCAGTGCCATCAGGCATGGTGTGATGATGGGCTTCCTTTTCCACAGAGTTAGTGGTAGCATGTGTATCTCTGGCTCTGGGAAACTCATTCGTGCATAACTGCTTTCAGTTAAGCAGATGGTTGAAAATATTTGAGATCGTTTTCATTGCTTTAGAATCAAAGAAGTCAACAATATCACACACAATCACATATATACACACACACAAAGCAAGCATCCGTTCCTTGCTTTACCCCTTATTCCTCAATTTGCTGATTCTTAAACTGATTATGCATATTATCAAGTACCCTTCATCAGACAGGGGAAGAAATTTACAATATTCTTTGAAATTCATTTGTTTTTACCAAAGTAACGGTCAATGTATTAAAAAGGAAGTTTGGAACAGTGGCACAAGTAAGGTGAAGGGGGTGAATTTATTACTAAGAGATACTGTACCTTAAAATGTGTTTGTTTAATTTTGAATCACACACTATTTTAGAATATATTGGATACTTGGGCAAATGGCAACATGGTCCTCTCTCTTAGAAAAGGAAAGATGTTAACCCACATTCACTTTTACATTACTTTTCCAACCCCAAACGGGTTGAAATAATACCTGTTTCCAAGTCCGTTAGCAAACGATCTGAAATGGTCCTGCTCATCCGACTCATTGTGTAGTTGTGCAGCTTGGGGTGACAGGCAAGTTGAAAGAATTTGTGGCAGACAAAAGCCCAGCTCCCCCTTTCTGCCTGTATATGTCAAAGACACAGTTGGTGGTTGTGTTTGGGTCATGTGTTCCCTGTATAAAAACAGCTAATTAGGAAAAAGAGGCCTCTGTTCCCTGGCCCCCTCCCCCAGCCACAGGGGCCAGCTCTATCTATCTTATAACTCCCACACGATCCTCGTCGCTATGAATGGCGCCGGGCTTGTGTGTCGGCGTGGCGGGCCGACCATCCCAGTGATCCCGTGGGGGCTCCATCGCCTCTCCCCCGAGCAGCCCCTTTCAAAGGTGGTTGACTCCTTTCTTCTCCTTAATTCCTTTTCACTCTTTTCTCCCTAATTCCTTCTCACTGAAAGAGCCTATGCTGTGAAATTAAAGTAGCCAGACTTCCTTTCTTTGTTGCAAGCAGCAGTTTCTAGCAAAATCAGCCAGCAGAGGTAGGCTAGCCCGCAATGAACTCTCAGTCCTGAAAGAGCTGAGGAAATTAGAGTTTCAGTTTTTAAACAGCACCGTATTTTCAGTTCACTGCTGTGATTTTAGCGTTCAGGACACCTGATTCCAAGTCAGTGCCGGTGCCTCTACCCTTTCACTCTGGCTTCTTGCCAAACGCCCCGTATTTCACTGTTGGAAACACCTGGACGGCAACAGCGGTTCCCAGGAGTACTTCGCCATAAAACAGTTTCATTGAAAAGCAGCTCCACGTTTGATGGCTAAGGGGCAGGCTTATCATTCCCCAAGTTTTCACTTTTTACACACTTGCTTTCTGGCCTGGCATCAAAGCTCGCTTGCTCTGGCAGGGGCCAGGGAGCCCACAGGGGGGCGGCTCTGTCAGGGAGCAGCTCCCAGACCCAGGGCCCATGGCAGAGCCTTCCAGACGGCGTCTCTATGCCTACATGTCCTGGCCTGGCTCTCTTAACTCAGACCCGGCTAAACTGCAGGACCTCAGCATTCAAAATGTCACTCAGGTCCTCGCCAGTCACCAGGAGGAGGGAACTGCTTCTCTGTGTTCAGGAGAGGAAGCAGAGGCCCAGAGAAGAGAGGGTACTCGCCCATGGATGCACAGCTCAGCTCCCCCTGGAATCTTTCCCATATGTCCTTTCTGCCTTTTCTTCACTGTTAGAAGCTACTGCCTCTTCTAACTTTCTTCAGTTTAATACTACTAATAAAAACAAAGCAACATCTACTGAGGGCCTAGTATACACTCGACATAATATTAGGCACTCTCTCATTCAATTCTCACAACAGCCTGCGAGCTTCTGCTATAATACACTCACTGTAACAGAGAAGGTAGCTGAGGTAGGACGTGAGGCAAAGGCAGGACAATGATAATCATTATAACAAATATTTCAGAAGCACATACTCTCATTTAACTCTCACATTAGTTCCACAAGGCCAAGAAATAATAGGTACCTCTTTACAGAGATGTAAAGGGAGCTTGGAGAATTTTCTTGCCCAAGATCAATTTGGCAAGTCACAGAGCTCCATTTCAAAATCAAATTTTGACCACAAAACCCATGGTTTTTCAATTACCACTATTAAGACAAATACCCTGGGCTCAGATACACGACACAAAAAGGCCAGACAAATTTGTTTAATTCTCACTGGTGTTTTTTTTTTTAATTCATGTTGATGGATTAAAAACATTTTAAAGCAATGAGAGAAAAGAACAATAAATAGACTTATCATGAGTAATAAGAGATGCCAAAGACAACGGAATCATATCTCTTAGGTGTTGAGAGCAAAGAACTGTCAACCATTATTTACAGGTAAGGGCAAAGTAAAGACATATTCAGTTATAATAAGACTAAAAGCACTTGGTACCCAAAGAACTTACCCTTTTTAAAATAACTATTAAAGGATGCATCACAGCAGAAGAAAAATAAAGCCATATCTAATCTGGGATACAAGAAACAACAACATTCTAGTTATTGCTGCTCTATCACAAATTACTGCAAAGCTTACTGGCTTATTAAAGTAATCTTGTTTTGCTTATGGATTCTGTGAGTCAGACCCACAGAATTTGGGCATGGCACTGAAGAGATGGCTTGTCTCTGGCTCTGTGGCGTCTGGGACCTCAGATGGGAAAACTCAAAGGCTGGTAGTGAATTGACAGTTGGAGGCTGGAATCACTTGGAGGCTTCCTCACTCGCATGTCTGGTGCCTGAGCTGAGATGACTTGAAGCTGAAGGCTACCTGTAGGGTGCCTCCATGTGGCTCAGCTAATTCTTACATGGTGCCTCAGGGCCCCACATGTGAGTGTTCCAGGAGGGAGGCTGCCTTGCTGCTTATGACCCAGTCCCAGAAGTTAAAGTGTCACATGCCCTATATTCTGTTGGTCAAAGCAGTCACAAACCTACCAAGACTGAAGTGGGTAGATAGACCTCCAGTTCTCCAAGGAAGGAATGTCAGAGAATATGGTGGCCCTCTTTTAAGATAAGAGAACTCATCAAGTTAATATATAAGTTCAGTGAAATTCCAGTTTAACTTTTCTTTTTTTCCTTTAGTTTTGACTATCTGATGGTAAAATTCATATGGAAAAGCAAAAGGCTGAGGATAGTAAAGACACTCTGAAGGAATAAGGGACTTGGTTACCTGACATTCAGTTTTACTGTGGCAGGAGATGGTGTGGGGTCTGACCCAGGCAGGCAGGTGGAGTGATGACTCAGAGGAGAGATGCCCAGGCCAGACTGACATGAAACTTGTCTTAGCTTCTTCAGAACCTTGTTCCCTTGTCTGTCAAAAGAGGATTATGCAGATGACTTATGTGACATAGATGACATTAAAAATCAGTGGATAAGTGTTCTGGGACAAGAACTTTAGGGTAAATTAAATGAAATTAACCCCTTCCCTACAACTTCTGAAAAGAAACATCTAAATTAAAAAAAAAAAGACCTTAAACATTTTGGAAGAAAATACAGAATGACATCTTTATGATTGTGGAAGAGAAAATTATTTAAAAAGGCACAAGAGAACAAATCATAGAGAAAATATTGCCAAAACTGACTACATTCAGGTTTTAAACTTCTGTTTCATAAGCACACCATAAAAAAGTCAAAAGATAAAAAGCCACAGAAAGGGAGAAAATATTTTACAATGCATATAGCAAAGGACCAGATAGTCCTGGGTTCAAGTCCTAGATCTGCCACTTAATAATTGTGTGACATTGGACACTTATCTTACCTCCCTAAATCTCAGTTTACTCCTTTGCAAAAGGAAGGGGTATCACTCACCTCATACAGTTGTGCTAAGGATTAAATGTAATAAAAAATCTGTAGTGATTAACAGTGGCTGCCACAAAGCAAGGGTTCAAGAAAATGGCTGATTTTGTTTTTAACATTTACAAGGAGAAATACAGCCAAGGTCTGAGTTACTACACGGCAGAGTTGAATCTCAACCTGGGCAGTCTGCTCTGGCACCAATGTGATTACCTACAGTGCTTCCTTCCCCCTTCATGGCTCTCTGTCTCCAGCAGTTCACAGGACCCGTTGGGGGGAAGGGGATGGGAAATTTAGTTTTGGAGACGGTATCTCATACTGACTTAGCAAAACCTGCACCTTGCTGAATTCCTAATGGGCTTGAAAAACAGACACAGCATATTGGGGATGGGAGAAGAATGTGGAGAAAGTTCAGGACAACAGACCTTGACCTTGAGCTCTGTGGGCATGAGGACCAGAGGTTGTGACAGGCTCAGAGAGAGGGGGTATAGGAATAGATGGGCGTGACCTGCTGGGCATCCAGTGGCCTTGGAGTTAAACCAGGATTTTTCTTCCATAGCCTTTCTGGACCAAAAAAATCAATCTTATCTGAAATGAAGGGTGTGTATGTGCAGAAAGCAGGTACAATTAAAAAGGAGAAAATTGATAAATTCCACCAAGGAGTTGTCAACAATCCCCCAACTGGCCACCATCACTATCTGAGACATAGCTCCCAAGCTCAAATGGTCTTTCTATGGACCAAGAGCTTTATTTTCCCACCTGTGCTGTGAGGGGACTGAACTAGATGATTTATAGGGGGAATGGGAACAGATTTTGGAGCCAGACCAAACTGAGACAAATCTCTTCTTAATTCTGTTGGAGAAACTCATTTCTTCATCTGTAAAAGAGGGTAATATCACCTATCTCACAGTTTAAGAATGAGACCTGTGCCAAGTGCTTAGCAGAGTTCTTGGCACATAGTAAGCATTCAATAAATGGTGTGATGATGATAATGATAATATTGACAATGGTAATAATAGTGGCGGTGACAGTGGTGATAGAATAACAAGATGAATCATGCCAGAGAGTCTCATAAGACCTCTAAAAAGGCAAATTAGAGGGAAATAGAAGTAAGGTCAGCTTGTAGACAGGTAGGTAAGATATTCTGGACATTTCATGGGTCAGTAGGATATCCACATGGAGATGTTCCACTGGGAGTTTGAAACAAGAGACTGGAGTGGAAGGTTTGGCCCCTCTCATCGACTGTGGCAACCGTGAGTCCTTGATAACAGCAGACAGTTAATTGAGCCCTTGCTTATGTGGATCATTCTACTGTCCATGTCGGTAGCATGACATGTAAGAAAAGATGATTTTGAGATAATGAATTATCTACTAATTGTGTCATCTTGCACAAGTACTTGACTTGCCAAATAGGAATAAACATACATACTTTACAGGATGGTTGTAGAGATTAAACTAGAGAATATTAAAACTTGGAGCGCAGAGACTGGCACATTGAAAAAAATTTTAATAATCACATTCCTTTTTATGAATAATCTATTCTAAATTAAAAATGAAGAGTACTACTTGAGAATACCAAATATTTTCAATTTAATACCTTTTCTAAGAACCAAGTGCTAAATGGCAGTCTTAAACATTTAAGGAAATCATGTAGTTTGTTGCAAATTTAAATTTTCAGTTCTCCTAGATTTCTGGTACATTGATAGATACCAATGAACTAGAAGGCAAACTCCCTCCCAGGGACATCCTTAAAGTCTAATCAGGGAAATAAATAAGATGCTTGTGGAAGAGATAAAACTGAAAGACAGCCTGTCAATAAATGCTGAACAAAGTGAGAGGTGCTCAGATGAGGCCGAGGCCAGGGGGTGTGTGAGAACTCAGAAGCGTTTAGACAGATGGCTCAATGGGAGCCACTTTTGATGAGCTGGACTGAGCAAGGGAAAGATTTACTTGCCACAAACTGTTAATGACACCTTATGCCAAGCACTAGACTAGGCTGAGGATACAGCAAAGAAGAGCAACCTGTGACCTTGAGGAGGTCATAACTGAGAGGGGAATGAGAGACTTGAACAGAGCAGTAGAGTACAGGGAACGTGGTCAAGTAAGACTTGACTAGGTGGAGGGACTGTACGTGAGCTGACGTGCCTTACCTTTCTGTTTGGGTCTTCTCTCACCAGGATCCTTTCACCTAATTCACTTGATGTTTGATGACTACGTGCTCTACCTGCTAGAATCCCTGCACTGTCAGGAGCGGGCCAACGAGCTCATGCGAGCCATGAAGGGAGAAGGAAGCACTGGTAAGCCAGCATCTCACTGGCAATCGCCCTAGTTGGCAGTTTGATTTGTATCCTTACTTCCATGCTCTGTATCTCAAAGAATTTAGTTATGGTAAGCAGGTCAAGTGGTGTGAGACCAATAATGTTTTCTCTTCTTTAGAGTGGGTGTGTGGGCATGGGAATTGCATGCCATGATGGTCATGGGAAACCACCGAAGTGTTTAAAACAGAGGAGTGATGTGACAGATTAGAATATTTTGTTTTTTAAATTTCTTAAAGACCACTTGCCTTGCTCTAAGAACCTCCCCTTTCTCTACCCATAGCAGAAGTCCAAGAAGAGATTATCTTGACAGAGGCTGCCCCGCCAACCCCTTCACCAGTGCCATCATTTTCTCCAGCAAAATCTGCCACCTCTGTGGAAGTGCCACCTCCCTCCTCCCCTGTCAGCAACCCGTCCCCAGAGTACACTGGCCTCAGCACTACAGGTAATGAAAGGTCCAGGCTTTGGGTGGGGAGTTGATATTTAAAGTAAAAGCTTCCTGGAAAAACATTCTTCCCACAGCCCTGCAAGATCAGTGCCAGAACCTGAGTATCTTTCTAGATATATAATGACTTGCAGTTATTCATTGTTTATTTATACATATTCCTATGCTTCTGTTTTCAGGTTGGCAGATTAAGTACATAATAAAATCTCCAACCCTCCCATAACTAAATGATTAAAATGATATAAGACATAAATTAATACACAGAAATTCTTGAAAGTGAGAACGGGAGCACTCTATGAACCAGAAACCGAGAAGCATCCCTGGAACGTGGGGCAGACAGGCAGCCATATGCTAAGCCATGGTGACTGTAATTGAGGCAGGGGCAATAAGCAAGGTACAATCTACTGTTACGGACTCCCCGAGGAGGGAGCAGTTCCGCCTGATTGGCTGTAACAAGGAAGGGGGTTTGAGCTGGAACTTGATCTTACCTGACAACGTATAGCAGAAGGGCCTTCTGTGCAGAGGACAGTTCGAGCAAATGCGGAGGGTGGGGAAGTGTGGGGCCTTTTCAGGGAATGGTAAACTTTGGCTCAAATGCAGGAGGCCCATGAAGGAGTCTCATAAGGCTGTAAAGGTAAGTAATAATAGCTAGCTGCTATTATTATCTAAATGTTACTTTGGGATATACAAAGGGCCTCCAAATAATTGTCTCATTTGATTTCACCGTAACACGGCTAAGTAGATACTGTTCCATTTTCCGGAAGAAAACTAAAGGGTAAGAAAGGTTAAATTCCTTGTTTGGGTACCACAGTCAATAACAGACATAAATATCATTCACTGTTATTAAACAAATGTCCTTGCTCACAAGACTTATGGAAATGATATACTGTATGTAGAATATTCAGTAAGTGTTAGCCAATACATAATAATAAATAGAGTGTGTGTGTGTGTGTGTGTGTGTGTGTGTGTGTCTACCTCCAGATTACCTCATGGGGTTGCTGTGGGGATCGGGGGGTGGGGGGGTGGGGGCGTAAGAAAGGCCAGAGTGCCCTGTTACCAGCGGAAGGGCTTACTGTGATAGGCCTGTAGAATGAGGGCTGCGGCCAGGAGTTCAGGGGGAGAAGCAGTCACTTCCCTTCCCACCTGAGCTCTGGCAGGCAGGACGGAAGCCTTTGAGATGGGAGACTCCAAGGCAGCCCAAAAGGACCAGACGGGCCCACTGCATGGAGAGGAATGGGCACAGGGAAACCAAAGGCAGAGACTTCCTCAGCTAGGGGGCCCTGGCTGGGCCTGCGGCAGGCTCGGTGAGTCTGTGATAATCAGTTCATTATCTTTCCACACAGATCTGCTCTACTATTCTCCCAAGTATCCAAGCACCAGATCTGGGAGTCAACTTCACATCTTCCCTCTCCCTCAACGCCAGTAATAGTTAGGATATGCCGCGCTACTGTGACAAATCCAAACAGCCATGGAATTAGAAATCTATTTCATGCTTGCAAACAGTCCTGCAGGGTGTTTAGGTCAGAGAGGGGGCCCTCTTTAATGCAACCATTTGGAAACACATGTTCCTTCAATATTAGGCTCCACCATATTCTAGGTACTGGTTCTCAAAGTGGGATCCATAGACCAGCAGTTATCAGCATCTCCAGGGAACTTGTGGGAAATGCTCATTATCAGGTCCCATCATAAACCTACTGCATCAGAAACTCTAGGGGCAGGGCCCAGGGATTTGCTCAACACACCTCTGTTTGATTCGGATGCACGGTAGTCTGAGGACCACTGCCTTAGGGCTTTGGCAAGCCTGCAACCAGCTTTCCAGAATTGGAAAAGTGGATACGGAGGAGGAAAATCCGCTCTCTTAGAAACCCTGGCCAGAAGGTGGCACGTGTCACTTCCACCTAGAGTCCATCAGCAAGAATTTAGTTACATGGTCTCACATAACTGCAGAGAGAGGCTAGGAAATGTAGGACAGTGTGTCTCCAGATCGGGAAGGGCGAACAGGTTTGGGAGACAGCCGGTATTCCCCACCTCACCTCCCACATCCAGTTGGTCTAATACAAGCCTCCACCAGCCATTCCTTCCTGCCCCACTGTTGCCTCCCGGGGCAGGCTTCCCTGTGTGTCGTGCACATCCACGGTGATTCTCACGCGGGTTACCTGCCTTCAGCCTGTCCACTGTCTATCCATTTCCCCACTGCCCACTGGGATTATTTTCCCAAAGCTGTGCCTCCTCGCGGTGCTGGAGCAAAGGGCCCACCGCCTCACACGGAAGCCTTAAAATGCTCCCGTTCTCCAAATTGCTTCTCACGCAGTCCCACTGCTGAGACTATCCTCCTTCCACTCCCTGATGAGATCCTACTCATCTTCGACATTCCCCTTCCTCCAAAGTCTTATAGCATGGGCTTAGTTATATCCCAATTCTAGTAAGAATAAAACTATCTTCAGAATAGTCTGAGAACTAAATTATATATTTTCTTGAAGACCAAATAAACTGGGTAAATGCCCTATTTTGAAAGCTATTTCTTTCAGCCATTCATTCACTCACACATCCATCCATTTAGCCAACAAATATTTCTCAGGTGGCTTCTATGTGCTAAACTCTCCAGATAGCTGGTGATCTGAACAAGAGAATCGTGGTCCCTGCCCCTCAGAGTTTATTGTTTAGAGGTTGTGGTTCTGATGAGCAAACGGGCAGTTACAATATAATGTGGTGAGTGCTAAGTAGGGAGAAGGGCTGGGGTGTTAGGGGAGTAAAAGTGGGCTATCAGCCTGTATTTGGAGGGTCTGGGAATAATGAGAGAAGGTATTCCAGGCAGAGGATGTAAGTAGTGCAAAGGCCTGGAGGCAAAAGGGTGCTTATCATTTTCAAGTACTTCAAGTACATATTCCAGGAGTCTTTCAATTCATTCCTTCCCTAAAGTTTCCTCTCTCTCCACAACTAGAGATACTCAGAGGGGGAATAAGTAGTTGCTTAAGAGCCTGTAAGGTGCCTGCCCTCTTTTATGCTTTGCCAAGGGCAGAAATTTGCCGATACACTCAGTGGTCCTTTGTCAGGGACTGCTAAGAAGACTGCATTCTTTGGGGTATGGAAAACCAGGGCTGTCAGTAACTGAAATTAGATGAAGCTTTGATTTCACTTTGATTACACAGCTAGAGAGTGTCCCCCTCTATGTGAAAACAGACATTTGATTTTATGGTCACCGTATTTGTCTACACAGACACATCTCAAATCGTGTTTTGTTTTCTACGTTGAGGAGGAAGAACATGACGCCTTCCCACCTCCCTCCCATTTTCTCTCCATAGTAAGTTGTTGTAGTTCCTGCTTAAAAGGCTCAGGAAGAGAAGCTGTAGAGAAAAGAACAACTTTATTCACTGAAAACAAAAAGGGAAGAGAATGTGTTCCTAGCTCTTCAGCTGCTCAGGAGTCCTTCCAAGACCGGATGGAGTTAGAGGGCAGCCACACCAAGCCTCTTGCCTCACTCAGGAAGGAATGAAAACAGTAAGAAGAGCTAGACACCATTTACATGAATAATCCTGCCCGCCTACCCACCCCACCACCAGCACCTGGGGGGGTACACACCCATACATCAGTCAGTGACAACATCCTCACTTCTAAAATAAACAGGGGGATCATACAAGTGCAAGAGTTCTGCACTTTGAACCAGAAACACCTTGAGAGGAACCTTCCTTGCAGTATGGCAGCATATCAAACAAGGAGACTAAGGAAATAAGGGGATGGGAGGGGTGTGAAGGAAAGACTTGTAGGATCTCTTCATAATTCTTACCCGCTAGTGAGTCTGCCTGGCAATGTGCAGGCCTCAAGGTATGGCAGGTGTGATAGTCAAAGCCACAGGAATATCATAAATGTGTTCAGAGATTTCTGCACAATGTGTTCAAGAGTCATAAAAGTAGCTTCTTAGAAATACAAATGTGAAACAGGTTCTCTTCAGATGATTGTAACCTTTGAAGATTTTGGCACATTCCAGCTTTGTTCTCAGATATCTCCAAGGGGCATTAAAAATATCATCCTGTATAAAACTATGTGTAATATTTTTCTCAAGTACCACTTTTGAAATACTCCATTGCTAAATTAGACTGGATCTTGGCATGCATTGTGGGTCATGGTCCTAGAGGAAACATAATTTCCTAACAACATGTATGGTTTTATAGATATAACATTATAAAGCACAAATTATTTATCCATGACAGACAACTAAACATTAGGAAATCTATTGTGGTAGGCTTCTTAAGTTGGGGGATTTATGCAATTTTTCATTGAACAATACTGCAAATTCAAATTGGAAAGCAATTATAAATCTTACAAATGCATTTGCCATGTTTCTTTTTTAAAAAGTTAACTTAGCATATGGTTTTCATACCCAGTTCATTTTTATTTCCATCTTAAAACTGCTGCTTGATTTATATAATACCATTACTTTCCCAAAAGTATCTGAGGTGATTATCGATTTTTAAAAAAGCAAACCTATTTTTTTTAAAGGACACAAACCAGGAAGCAAGATATAAAGTAGTAGTGAGAAAAAGTAAACAAAACAACTATTGGCGGCAACAATTGGTTCCAATTTATTAACACCTTAAATGAAACTTTATGCGGCCAAGTTATTTTATTGGGTTTCCAGCACACGCTGAGTGTCGGTGCTGCACTGATGTGTGTATTACCAAGTTGGACTTATTGAGAGTCAAGGCCAATCAGGTATCTACAGCTCTTCCACATATCAGTGTCTCACTTCTGATGGACACTCACCCATTTTTTAGCCGAGAAAAAGAAAACAGTATTAATTCTGATGAGCACAAAGAGAAAATTAATTAATTGCACATACCTTTCAGCACCCTTTGATACAAGGACTAGGGGATACAAAGTAGTATAGAGATGAGTCAGGATTCACTAAGGAAAACAGCCGCTCTGCTTATCTACATCTCTGTCTAGTTCTAGTTTCTTATTGTTTTACCAACAAATAAAATACCTGCATGTACTTCTAAATA